CACTCAGCTCCCAGGTCTTCCAGACGCTTGGGGAAATGGAATTGCTCTAAACTGCCCTTAAAACTTTCCACTTTAGGGACTAAAACTTCCTATCTCAGTCTGGCCATTTTCTATTCCTTTAAAAAAACCCCTAAAAGTCTCTATTTCTGCCCCAGCTGCCAGAGCTGTGCTTGTTCCGGGGGACACGTGGGCAGAGGTGGCCTTGGGGGGGTGTGACAGCCTTGGCTTTGTCACTCGGGAGGTTTGAGTTGTTTTAATGAGGAGTTTTGGCAGCAAAAGCTGGCCTGGATTTTTGGTAAAGAATATTCCCTTTTGTACTGATTTTTGTATTCCTTTCATAGTATTTGCTGTGTCATTTGCTTAACCAAGGCTGGGAAAGGTGGTGTCTTTCCTTGATTACATCCTACCAGCTGAAGTTTGCTCTTTTGTCCATTAAAATATGATTTCACTGATTCCAAACCACTGCCTGGCCCTCAGTTATCTGAAGGCTTTTCAACACAAATGAGATTTTTCAGTTTCTTCAGTGTATTCAAATTTTGAATCATGATTTACCCCCACATCAAACAGGCTTTTAGTTCATGTAAGTATAATTTATATCATATTTCAGGATCTGATACTACTTATTGCATCCATTGTCAGTGTAACGTGAACAGACCATGGTATAAATAAGAGTTAAACCATGTAACTCACCTACTAAAATAATCTTCTTTAATGAAGTTTATTTTCTGTCAGGCATTTTATTTCCCATTGTGTATAATTAAACTTAAAAATAATTGTCCAGCAACGATAATGTGTAACAACAAAGACAAGCTGCAGTCTTGAATTTATTAACAATCCCCTATTTATTTGTAATAATAATCTGCTATTTATATGTGAGCAGTAAAATTAAATTTAATTGTTCATCAAGGTATATTTTGTTATAGTGACTCCAGATACAGTTTTTAGGACATCGTGGCTTAAATCCAAATATTTCTAAGTATTTAGAAATATCTATAAAATTAAGAAGAATGTGGAGAAATAATTAATTGGCAGTCTCAGTGAAAACATCTGCTTGTTTTCCTATACATTGCTAGTACTCCGTTTTTTCCCTTAAATTATATTTTTCAGCAATAACTTTAGATAATCTTTCAATCCAAGCTTTTATGGGTGTCATTATTTCACAGAGGGAGGAAAAGAAATACAACAGGGTTGTGAAAATTTAACACTCCATAAAACTGCCTGTCTGCCAACTGCCACCAGGATGGATGGACCTCCAAACTTTCTTTTACTTACTTAGAGACATCCCAGGGCTGGGAGAGGCACCAACTCCTACCAAAAAAGCCTGGCAACACTTATTTTGAGTTGAAATCAGCACCTTTAGAGTATGAAGAAAACCACCCTGAAAATACCACGGAGCCTTCAGTTGAGATGTTAGAAATATTTGGATTTATGCCACGATGTCCTAAAAACTGTATCTGGAGTCATTTTAATAAAATATACCTTGATGAACAATTAAATTTAATTTTATTGTTCACATATAAACAGCGGATTACTGTTGCAAATAAACAGGGGATTGGAGGCAGGTGCTGATTTCAAGGATGAATTCCAAATCAAAGACATTTCATCTTGATTTTCAGAGTTTTTACAAACCTTTTTCTTCCAAACAAGTACTAGATTTTGATTAGTGTAACACAGATTTCCTCTTAGTCTCTCACTCTGTCTTAGCCAGACATGGTCAGTAATCCTTTTTATCCTGCTTTACCTCCAAGTGAACGAGCCCATATGGAGGACCATATTGATCTATCAATATAGGGTAGGCTATTATCAATACAGGATAATATATTAATATTATCAATATTAATTATCAATCAAAGTGTTTGGAGCATCAATGGCTTTGCTCTCTGCTGTGCCAAAGTGCTGTGGTGGATTAACCATCAGGGAGAATAATCCTCAGGGAGAATAAATCCTCACTTTTCTGTTGCTGTAAACTATTTTTCTGACAAACAGCTTGTTCACAGAAATTTCCATCTAAAAAGCAAACCAGTCTTGCTCAAGAGGTTCTGCCCTGGTGCCTGTGTTGGTGTTACCCTCTCACTTGTCCTCTGGTGTCAAGTTTGGTGTGGTCAAATCTCTGAGAAACTTTGTGATATAACCCACTGATTTAGTTGTTGAAATAATTCCTCATGTAAACATTTCTTTCTTGGTGTTCACTCTTCACTCAGAGTTTAAATCCATTGCGGATGCTCAAGTTTGGCCCCAGGTGTGGAAGGTTTGTGGGTCTCGTCAGTCAGTTTGTGCTGTCAGAGTTGGTGACAAGAACTGATGATTCTTGAAATGCCTTTCAATGAAACACAGAGAAAATGCAGGAAAATGCTGAATTTCACCAGCTGTAAGGGAGGAGATCTCACCAGAGCTGCTCTCTGGCCAAATGGTTGTGCATTTTGCTCTCCCAGCTCTCTGTAACTGTGTGTGTGCTTGTCATTCTCACTCTTAAGCTTCTGTCTCTCACAAAATTCATCTCCCTCCGTATCAGGTGCTGCCCAAGCATTCCCTGCTCATCTGACTCCCTTCAAAATCCTTTCTTTTAAATCTCACACTTATTTATTCATACACTCTTTATTCAGAAATCTTTATTCTCAAATCTCACACTCTTTATTCAGAAAAAAACCAAAACAACAACTCTGAAACAACCCAATGCATTTTCTTAAGGTTATGGATGAATTTCAAAACCTCTTGAACCAAGGCTGAAACAAGTGAGCCTGGCCGAAATAAAATGGCCAGCAGCAGGATTTTCAGGGACACTTAAGAGCTTCCATGTATCATTCTCCTTTCCAAATGCCATTGGACATCTTGTCCTTCCCATGTGGGGCTGGAGACCAGGCTCCTGCCTGCTGGGACACCGTGGAGGCAGGGCAGGAGTGGCTGGTCCCAATGTCAGCAGCCCAGATGGTCCCTGCTGGAAGCCTGGGAAAGTGCTTTCAGGAAACATGGATTTGAGCTGCCTGTGAAGGAAAGGTGAAGGTGAAATGTCTGGGCTCAGAGTATCTGGGGCCTCGTGCCACGGCTGGGAGTACCGAGAGTGCGGGAAGCAGCAAAGGCAGCGTTGGGAAGGAAGGAGGGAAGGAAGGAATCCTTCCCTGGGAGGGTGGTGAGGCCCTGGCCCAGGTTGCCCAGAGAAGCTGTGGCTGCTCCTGGATCCCTGGAAGTGTCCAAGGCCAGGTTGGACGGGGCTTGGAGCAACCTGGGCTGGTGGAAGGTGTCCCTGCCCATGGCAGGGGGTGGGATGAGATGAACTTTAAGGTCCCTTCCCACCCAAACCATTCCGTGGTTCTCTGATTGCTTGAAAATGTGGAAGAGTTGGTGCCTGCACGAGGCAGTTTTTTATATGAAATATTCCTTGTAACCCTCTTGTCTGCAAAAGTCAGATGTTTAATGTGCATTTGGGAACTCCGAAGCGCGGATGAAACTTTCACGTGACTTTTTTTTTTTTGTGAAAAACTGTAACATTGCATTCTGAATGATGCTGCTGGTGACAGCAGTCCAATAGCAGCCTTTCAAGGGCAGTCACAGGAATCATCAACTTGATCAAATTACAGTTTTTAATTTAAGGAGAACTTCTTTCCGTACCGAGAATATTACCATGCCCATTTTCATTTTATTAGTTTATGTACACAGCTACTAAGTTATTTGCATGTTGCAGGATTTTATTTTATATTTAGCAAATGAATGACATCCAAGCAATTTTAGATTTAATTTGATCAATATTTAATGAATTATAATTATCATTACAACTCAGAGTTTTGCACTGCTCTATATTGCTGCATAATGTTTAATCAAGGGGAGAGAGAGACTTAAATATGACTGGAAAACAGCTATCAAGTTTATGTTAAAGAAGTGTACTGGGATTAGTAACTAAATTGCAGAGGTCTAATTTAATAATTTTTTCTAGTAACTGCTTTAAAATTGAATTCCAAGAGCACTTCCCTAATTTATATTTTTGAATGCTGGCAATATTTATTTTTAAAAGTACACAAAAAGCCAAATTACTTTGTGGTATCAGAGTTTCAAATCTCTGCATCAGTAGCAAAAATTCCCAGGTGTTCTATCTGGGAATATGAGGATAACATGGAAAAAAGAGAAGTGCCTGTATGGACAGAACAGCACAAAAGACTTGTCAATAGACTTGGCTTATTCATGACTAAGGGACAGTTCTGTAAATGCTGTGGGGATCAGCCAAACTGTTTAAGGTTAATGTGTCTGAAACAGTGAAATAAGTAACGAAAATCCATGGGAAAAAAAAAAGTATGTTTAGTATTAAACCTCTTGTTCCACAAACTAAAGGTATCTTTTCCTCAGAAGTGCTGGTGATTGTCTGTATTTAGTAACATCAACATGATTTCTCAATTGTTAGGGGTTAAGTAAAGCTTATGAATTGTGAAACACCTTGTCTGGCACTGCAGGTGAGGCAGAAATGTGTGTAGGCACGAGATTTGAACAGGAAGGCTGGAAAAGAAGAAGCCTAAAAATTTCTGTTTCACAGAATCACAGAACCCCAGAGTGGTTTGGCTTGGAAGGGACCTCAGAGCTCATACCAAACATCTGATTTTTGCAGACAAGAAGGTTAAAAGGAGCATTTCAGGTAAAAAACTGCCTCGTGCAGGCACCAACTCTTCCACATTTTCGAGCAATCAGAGAACCACAGAGTGGTTTGGGTGGGAAGGGACATTAAAGCCCACCCAGTGCCACCCCCTGCCATGGGCAGGGACACCTTCCACTGTCCCAGGCTGCTCCAGCCTGGCCTTGGACACTTCCAGGGATCCAGGGGCAGCCACAGCTTCTCTGGGCAACCTGTGCCAGGGCCTCCCCACCCTCCCAGCCAGGAACTCCTTCCCAATATCCAATAAATCCTTCAGCTTCCTCCAGCTTTTTTACTTCAAAACAAGGCTTTTAAAATGCACAGTTGTGGGGTTTGGAAACAAGTTTATCATGTAATAAAAAAGTAATTAGCTTTTTCTTTCCAAGTCTTTCTGAAGAAGGTCACTCAGGGCTCTGCAGTGGCACAACCTCTGGAATGATGGGTTTGTTCTGACTCTGCAATGAGCTGCCCATCCAGGGGTGCCTGTGTCACCCAGGTGAGTGCTGAACTCCTGCCTGGACTTTTCATCACCTTAAAAATGGGACAAAGATGCTCTTCACCCACAGGCTTGTGACTCCTGCATTTTCTGACAGTCTGATAACTCCAGGTAAGGGATCTTATGGGGAAAATCTAATTTTTTGCTTTCTTTGGACTACTAGTTGTTTACTTCTAGTAAGAAGTAGGCAATTTAGGCTAAGACTAAGTGCCAAGATCTTACCCCTGAGGGCTCTGTACCTTGGGAACAGCTGATCCTGGGATGTGGTGAAGTTTCTGCCACGCCTTCAGATCAGAACTGAATGTGTAACTAATGTACAAATACACGTGTGAGTTGAATGAGGTTACAGAGGAAACTGCAGACTGAAATTCTGGGGTCTCCACGGTGTGGGGAAGCACCATTTGGGTTGTAAAAATGTGTCCACTTTGGTCTTAAAGCCATAATTCTGCCACCACCAGAGGCACGAGCCCGAGGACGTGGTTTAGGGGTGCCCACAGTGGTGGTGCTGGGTTGGTGGCTGGACTTGATGGTCTTAAAAGTCATTTCCAGCCTCAGCAATTCTGTGGTTCTGTGATCAGTTCTTGCCTTTCATTGATACACAGAGCATGTGTTAGGCAGAACAAGAGAGTGAGGTGAAGGAATTGTGCTGGAGAAGGCAGAGAGAAGAAAACTGTGTCTGTGAATTGCTCTTATTTTTCTTCCCCTGATTTTCTGATGAAAAGCTGGAATTAGAAATGCATGATCAGATAATTAATGTGTTGGGGTAAAAAAAAATCTGTGTTCAGCACTGTCAGTTACAGCTAAATAAAAACAAAGGAAATTTTAGCTTAACAATGATTTTCCTTATTTGAAGACTTGTTCTTTGAGTTAAGAATTTGGAATGCAGGCTGTGGTTCTGGTCATGATTTATCATAATGCAGCATCCAATTTTATTTGGAGTTACATTTCAACCTTTTAAAAAGCTTTTGCTAATAAGAAATGAAGGGTATAAAAATCTGAAAGCAAAAGACAAACAACATCCAGGCCCAAAACGTTTATCTGTGTAGAGGTTTTAGTGGAGAGGAATTGTACAGCCCAGCCTTGTTTAGCAGTTTCACAACTGGACTCTTAATTTGTTTATTTTTGTCATAAATCATGTTGTTAAATAATGCACTTGTGTTCTTCTTATTTTCTAGATGTCATAACATTCTTTTGAAATGGGTAAAAATGCTTAAATTCTGATATTATTAATATGTGTAAGGCACAACTTCTGCATCTGACTCTATTCATCACATCCCAAATTAATCATCAGGGACAGAACCCAATATCTCATTTCAAGCAAAGGCCAATAGCTCTTGGGGAAATTAAATCATCTCTCAGAAATATTTCATTTTGAAAAGCTAATAATTCAATGGAAATGGATTTTTAGAGAGAAAACCTGAGTGTGTTACATAATCTTTCTGTAGGGGTCTCTGTCTCCTACATTAACATTTCTTGTCACATTTGAAATCAGAATTTGTTGAAACATAGTTTACACTGCTGTTGTGAGTGTCACAGTCCTTTAATGTTTCTGAAATGATAATAATATCATTTGGGAACTCGAGGGAACAGCACTTAAATCTGACTGAGACAGAGCCAAAATCTGATTGAGACAGAGAAAAACACAAAGGAAGCGACAGACACAGAGCAGGAAATCCTGGTTTTCACAATGACATTTTTATCTCATGTTTCCCCTCCCCTGTTCCACTGCAGACTCGTGTGTCCAACCACTTTTACAAAATAATGTGCAATCTGCTCTTCTGTTCCCCTTCCCACTTGGTGTGACAACTTAATGGAGAATGGAAAATGCATTAAAAGCCTATTTATTTTTAGCTTTTCTGCTCTAGGTAGTAGACAGCTCATGGCCCTGCAGTGAGGGAGAAAAGGAAGGACATGCACCCTGGGTGAAGGGAGAGGATGGACTTGGAAGGGGAAAGGCTGGCTTTGGAATTTTTTTTGTTCCAATGAGTGTTTATAACACTTACCACTTTAAAGATGTATTGGCCATTTCAAAATTAACCTAGGATAGATTTGTATTATTATTATTTAATTATAAAGCAGGTGTTCAGATGTCTCCTTTTGAATGGAACAGGCTCAGTTCAATGCTGTTTGATGGTATTTTCAGGCTCTGGTAGAGAAGTTTGCAGTAAAGTCCCCCACTTGCCTCAGCAGGAGGAGAGTCATAATATGCTCTAATAGTGAAAAAAGAGGTTGTTCTGTCATTTTTCTTTAGTTGGAGTCCTTTTTTTCTCCATGTCTTTATGCTCCTGGAGGTGCAAGAGGTGTGATGATCAGCAGGGCTCACACCCTTTATTTGTCTGTGCTCCCTTGGGCTGCTCTGCCCTACAACCCCCCCCTGAACACCCTCAGAGACCTCGGAAGGAGCTGCAAAAGACACCTGAGGAGAGCAAGTCCTGCCATCAGCAGGCCTGGCTTTGCTCCCAGGGGATGTCTCCTGCCAGGGGGAAGTTCTCAGCGCTGCCAGTTGACATAAAGGATGAATAGTTCCTACCAGGATGAACTTGGAGCTGAAATCTGCCCAGTAAACAATGGCCTGAACTCTGATGAATCTTTTTGGAGCAGTCCCAGCCAAGACATAATGTAATCCATATGCTTCATCCAAGTGACATATTAATTATTGATTATGCCTAATGAATATGCTAATATGCAGAATTCAGGAGTCTCTGCTGCCCTGCTGTGCTCTCCAGGCCCTCATCCATTTTTTAAGAGGTGCCTGTAGGAGACAGTGCCTGGGCTCATGCCAGGGCTCCGTAATGAACACCAAACACCACACACAGAGTTCAAGGGCTGCTGCTCGTCCTTCAGGAGCGACATCACAGACCTGTTCTGTCTGCCAGTCGTTCTGGAAATTCTAAATTGGATGATTCACTTTCTCTCCCCGTAAATGGGGTGAGTTATTAGTGTTTTTCTGTTCAGCTGGGGATGTAGAATAAGGTGTGACCTCATTTTCCATTTCAAATGAAGCGGGGAAGGGGGAGAGAAAAATAAGTGGAAAGAAGTTCAGTCCAATGGTCTCGTTGATAACACAGTGAAACTTCAGCACTCCTTCTGTGTACATTTACAAGGAGATTACAAAAGGCTGTTAAGCCTTTCTGTCTCCTCCCTGGTTTCAATCCTCGGGTGAAATAACCAATATGCACAGAGGAAACAAAAAGTTTCTGCTGATGGGGCCTTGACTGAGGTTTTTGAATGCAGAGCAAAGGCTGATGTTTAAATTGCTTCCCTCTAAAGAGCCCTAGGGTGCTCTGTGTTGCCTGTGGGGGCCTCAGCAGATGCATTCATGAACCTTTATGGTTGAAATGATTAATACAACAACGCATATTAAAGCAGTGACAATTAATGTAATAACAGAGATGAAAATGGGAATAGTTTAGTGAGCCAGGAAGAAGTGCTATTGTAAGCTTTACAATACAAGACAGAATGGTGTCTTGAGAACCTCACCATGAGCACTTGTGAGCTGATAAAATATCAACCTTGAAGCTATTAGATTGCAGAGAAGAAAAAGCCCCTTTCGTTTTCTGAATGCTGAATTATTTAATGTCAGCAATTGTTATTTTTCTGCTGTTTTTCAAGTGTTAGCAGGCTCTCTCCTGTAAATCATAAATTAAGTAATGCTACAGCTGCAAGCCAAGGCCCCAGAAGAAGTCAAACAGTGCATAAAGAAAGACTTGACTCCAAAGCCCAGTCTGTGTATTGATGGGTAAAAAAGCATTATAAAAAGGCAGTGATGGCGAGTCACGTGGACAATCAGTTTTTCTTAGTCAAAATTCTGTTTCAAAATTCTTTGGAGAGTTTGGGAAAGTCCTTTCTTCGATGGGGGTTAATTTAGGGGAAGGTTAAGTTCATCCGTGAGGAATTAGGATGGGACCACAACTTTTCAGGGTGAGTTAAGAGTGTGGATTCAAGGTTAGTGAGATCTTTATGTGTCAGTGCTGGAAACTTCCAGCAGTAATAGGAACTGGAAGCTGCAGCCCTAAAACCAGAGACTCTTTGTTGCCTCCTTCCTCCTGGTGCATCCGGAAGGAACGTTCTGGCTGTGGGTTCTCCCACCGTGGAGGTCCAGAATTCCAGAGCTCTTGAACCACAGACTCTTCTCATGTCATTTTTCTCTGAGGAAAAGGAAGGATTTATGGGCAGGTTCTCTGGGATCTCTGATCCATGTGAGAGGCTTGATCCAATTCACTGATCCTTAGAGGAATGTCTTGTGTAGAGTGAGCTTAAATAATAAGACATCCACTTTCAACCCATCTTTGTGTAACGGGTGTGTGTGTGTTCTAAGTTTTAATTTTAGTGCAAACCAAAGCACTAATATGACTAATATATTTATTTTATATATATAAAATACTTATTTTATATATATAATTAAATATATATTATTAAAAATACATATAAATATAATATCAATAATATAACTAATATAAACTTGAATGAAGATTTATCCCCCAAAGCCTGGAAATGCAGCTGACCACCATCTGTTAGAGATCTCTACAGTTTGAAAAAAGGAAAGTTATATTAATATAAAACTATGTAAAAATAATCTGAAGATCACCATTTTTTTCCTAACAGAGCAGCAGATAAGATTCCTCTTTCAGCCAGGGCAAAACATTTATTAATGCAGCAGTTGTGCCAAAAGAGTGATGAGGTGAATGAGTTTAAACAGGCCTAAGGTCTCCTAAAACAGCAGAATAAATGGTTGTGTAACAGTAGGTTCTTTTCTTATCTTCATTTCCAGCAAAATATCTAAATATACTCATAGAATCCCAGAATGGTTTGGGTTGGAAGGGACCTTAGATATGGTTTCATTCCACCCCCTGTCGTGCTCCCCAGGGAAGGTCTCAGGGCACAGGAGAACATATTCCTGCCAAAACCAAGGTGCCAGGCATGATACACCTCCCATGATATTCCACAGCACATGGATATCTTCGAAGGAAAAGTGCTTTTTCTTGGGGTTTTGTGCCAAGATGGTCCCTGTGAGTGGTTTTGCAGAGGATACAGAGCACCTTGGCTCTTTGCTGGCTGCAGATATTCCTCTGGAAGAACATGCAGGTTTGTTCTTAGAGATTGCCAGGATTGTTCCTGCTTCTGGAGCTGGAGACCTTCAAACCAACTGTCCTGAAAGGCTGGGGTAAAATGCTGATTGTTGTTATCTCTGCTGATCACAGAGGCATTTAATTCACCCAACAGTCAGCTGGTGAATTAACACTCTTTACCCTCAGATATTTCCTTTTGTATTCTTTTTCTTTGAAGTGGGATATGTAAAATGAATTGCCAAAACCTGCCAGCCTGAGCAGAATCAGTACAAAAGGTGCTACACAGAACCTTCAGCCTCAAAGGTAAACAGGAGCAAACTCTGCATTCTTGTGGTTGCTCTTGGGGGTCAAAGCAATAAATACTCTGTTTTCCCTGCTTGAAGTTTCTCTTTTCTGTAGGAATGTGATTTTGCTTTCGAAAAAAGCTTTAATTCTTCTTCCTTGTGAAAACAAATTTCATCACCAACCCATAAATAATCACAGGGAAAAAAAAATAATAGCAGCCTAATTTACATCTAACCTTTCTTTTTAATGATTAATGGGTACTATTTATGTAAACTGTTTCTACATTCCGGCGTGAAATGAAATTTAAATTGCAAATTTTACAGTGGTGTATTTTAACTGGTGACCCTTTCCCCAGTCACAAATTAAAAAAAAACCCAATTACATTTGTAATAAAGATGCTAATGCATTTCTTGGTTTTAGGGCACGTAAAGTTCTTGCTGCCTGCAACTTTTATTTTCCCCGCCGATGAGCCAATAAAAAATGTATTTTCCAAAGAGCTCCAAGATATGTGGGTGTGGTGGACGAAGAGGAATTCTCAGCACTTCCACTTTGCAGCAGCATTCATGGGCAAGGAAACCTGTGGTGTCTCTCACTGCCCACAGCCCTGGGATGGAAAGTAGGTTTTCAACACCTTCAAGGCACCGAACCTTCTCACCGAGCAGCCCAAGGGCTCCTCAGCAGCTGTGGTGACTCAGTCCCTCAGTGCTGGTGTGGAAGATGCTGTTCTCTGCTTTCTGCAGAGCTCCAAGTGTAGCTCTTGGCTTGGATCCCCTTCATCCAGGGCTGCCAGAACTGCAAGGAGAGGAGCTCCCAGCTGGAACACCACGCAGGTCCCTGGAGACTCTCTCCAAGTTATTTGTATCCCACAGAGCTTTTGATTTAGGGTCTTGGAGGCAATTCCAGCCTATTAAACAGTGATTTCTTTCTTTTGCTTCTAATGGCACTCAGGACCCTCTTTGGGGGTAAAAAGAAGGTGTTTTGGTAACTCGTTGTCGCTTCATATGACCTCAAGGAGGACCCAGAAGGTGGAGAGGAAGGACTGGAGTGTTTTCCTGTGTCTCATCACATCCAAAGCTGTGTTCAGCTGAGACTTTCAAAGGTCAGCACAACTCTGCAGCCTCTCTTGAAAGGGCTGGTGGCCACTATGAGCTGTGCAGACCCACTGAGATGCAATTAAAGCCAAGGCACTGCAAGGTGCAGTGGATTTGTCACATCAGTTTTGGGGAACAAGGAGAAACAGGAACAATCCAAATGTATCTGGGAAAAATTACATCAGAACTGGGTGCACTTTGCTGTTTGAGGGATGCTGGAAACATGGGCAGAGCTGGAAGTATTTTCAAGGCACAAAACTAGACAGAACCACATAAAAAGTACTTGAGAAGTCATTGGGGTTTTTTTAGTTGTCTTTTTTTTTTTTTTAGGAGATTCCTTTATTTCTGGCTGGGAGAGGGGAGCTTTAGTCTATTTTTGTGGTAATGTCCTGTCAGAAGAGCACAGGACCAAGTGCAGCCTTTGTGTCTTTACGTCCACAGAGGGAAGTAGAAAGGTGATAAGGACAAAAACCAGAAGAGTGTGCAGAAAGGCAGAGCTTTGGTACTGCACAGAACTGCTTTCTGACAGTGACAGGAGGCAGAGAGCTGCAGTGCTCATCACTTTTTGCTGCTCTGTGTGTCCAGCACTGTGAAAATGTTTTTTTCACTCACAGACTGAGCAAACTCGTTCTCTGAAACATGAAATGTGGAACCCCTGGGTGTCGTTGGAAGATTTGCTTTGCAGAGGAAAAGAGCACTTTAATAGCAGGTTTATAAACCTTCTCAGCAATACTTCTGGAGGCTGTGACAGAGATGACCCCAAGGAGTTTCAAGCTGTAACTTCTGCCTTGTCTTCTGGCAGCACTCAATTGTCCCTGACTGTGGGAGGAGCTGTTCCCTTGGGAGAGGGAGCACCACGGTGTGGGGGGGTTTCATATGATGTGGAGCTGAGGGGGGGCTGAGGGGGGGCAACTTAACAGGGGCAATCACCTCCCTTTGACTTGGATGGAACCAATAGCTCAGGGTCACAAATGGCTTGGAAGATGCCTTGGGTGCTGCAGATGACTTTTTGGAGAGCTGCTCATGGCGGGGGACGTGGTGGGTGCTCAGACCAGCAGGTCCCAGCAACTCCAGCGTGGCCAAAGGGGGACCTGGTGCTGTGCAGGAAGCAGAGTCACTGCACAGAGAACAAAGAGGCTGGAGAGGGATTTTATTCAAGGCCATGGAGTGGTAGGAGTAGGGGAATGGTTTTAAGCTGACAGAGAGTAGAGTTAGGTGGGATATTGGGAAGGAATTCCTGGCTGGGAGGGTGGGGAGGCCCTGGCACAGGTTGCCCAGAGAAGCTGTGGCTGCCCCTGGATCCCTGGAAGTGTCCAAGGCCAGGTTGGAGCAACCTGGGCTAGTGGAAGGTGTCCCTGCCCATGGCAGGGGGTGGGACTGGATGAACTTTAATGTCCCTTCTCACCCAAACAATTCCATGATTCTGTGATTCTGTAATGACTCTGAGCAGCTCTTTTATTCCAGAAACCCCAAATCTGTCCCTGGCCGCACAGTGGCCAGTGTGATGATTTTGGTACAGCATATCAGCATTTGTGTTTGCAGCTTCTTCAGTGTGGGAAGCCCAAAGTTGCTGTTTTTGCTGGATCACTGGCAGTTCTCCACATGCACTTACTGCTTGTGGAGCTTTGTTTAGCTCTTATCACGAAATTCAAGAGGCCTGAAATCTCAGAGCTCGCTGCAATCGCTCCTCTCTGTGCCATGAAATAATTGGTTTCCCTGGCAATTTATTAGCACATAATGCTGTCTTTGTGTTGCCACCAGCCTTGAGCTCTGCTGCTGGGTGGATTTTAGTTTCCTGCTATTGTTCTGGTCAGTGAAAGCCCACCTGACCTTGCTTCTTTGCTTAATAAGTCTTTGTGAGGACTAACTGAGTGTGATTTCTCTGCGCTCACAATGCTGTTTTATTATTTTCTCATTTGTTTTTTTCTCTGAAGGTATTATGTAGTTACAGTTAAGAGGTTGGGTCCCTTCAGCAATTCATTTTTTGCCACTCACTGTGCAGGTGACCAAAGCACTCAGAATTCACACAAAGCCTGATGCTCTTGCTGCCCTCCAGAGCAGGCCTAAGTTCAGATCTTTCTTGACAAAGAGGGACCTAATTGATTTAATGGACTGTTATAACCTCAGACAAGGCTTTAGATTAGAATAAAACCACTTTTCCCACCCTCAGTTACTTGCCTGCAGTGGTTGCTGGCTTTTACTGAACATGAACTTATTTCTGGTGTTATTAGAAGTAACACAAGTGGGTTTGTAAATGAGCTTGGCTAAATGGAGTCTGTAATAGATAAAAATGAAAGTTTGACTGTTTCACCTTTAATGAAGGTATTCAGGCAAGGTATTACTTATATTGCTTACACAGCCTGAGTATAATACAGCTCTGAAGATGCTGAACTTGTTAGCTTGTTGATTGCATGGTTGTGTCAGGGCTAATCGTGACTGACAAATAATTTAAGCAGTGTTTCTAACTCTATTAAAGGCTATATATTCCAACAACCACAAAATCCTCATCTGAGAGGCAAATCCTGTGTGCTGCAGCCCACTGAGAATCTTTCCAGGCTCTGCACACAGCAAAATGTTTGTCGTGCTGCTAGATGTGAATATTGACTTTTAATTTACCCTTTAAAATTAAAATCAGGAGAAGAGAAAACCTCTTCTAAAGAGTTTTAGCTCTTTCTTATTTAAGCAATTATCAGTGTAGGCTTAGGGAAACACCAGGCAACATCCCTCTTCCATGACTTAGAATTTACCTGGATGGGGAAGGGAAGGCTTTGGTGGCAGGTTTATTTGTGCTTTTTAATAAAACTATTGATTTTGTGCAATCTCTTCTACTGTGAGAGCAGAGAATGAAACTGTTGCCTATTTTTACTCCTTCCAAGAAATTCCTTGCAGGGACACCTTCCTCTAGCCCAGGTTGCTCCAAGCCCTGGCCTTGGACACTTCCAGGGATCCAGGGGCAGCCACGGCTTCTCTGGGAACCTGTGCCAGGGTCTCCCCACCCTCCCAGGGAAGGATTCCTTCCCAGTATCCCATCTAACCCTGCTCTCTGTTAAAGGGTAGGTCCCTGTACAGAAAATATTTCCAGTCCTGTCTGAGGTCTGGTTTGCTCTGGACAGGTGAGATGGGATGAGTTAGGGGGGGTTGGGGCTGAACTCCTGCTCTCTGGGCCGAGGTGGGAGGATGGTGCCCACCCAGCTCGGATCCAGCTTCTGGGGTGGGTGTGGAGGTGCAACTGCAGCTTTTTGAGGCAGATTTCTGCCATGAAGGACATTTTCAGGAGCAGGATGTGCCCTTGGGGAAGGTCAGAGCACGGCTCAGGATTCCAGGCTGCCTGTGGTTTGGGCACCTCTGACCCTTGAGCTGCTTTGCTGTTTTCCTCTGCAGCCTGAGCACGTCCTGCTCCTCAGCACTGCTCACTGGGGGCTGTAAAGCATCCTGAGCCATCCAGGTAAGGCATTTCCTGGAGAGGGAAAGATTTCTTTGTGCTGTCCTTCGAGTATAGGCTTTAAAACCATTTGCAACATATAGAATCACTGTTGATTTTCTCTATTCTTGTAGAGAAATTTTGGAAAAAAAACCAAACCAGAACCATCTGCCTTCCTTTTCTGTTTTCATAGAATCACAGAATATCCTGAGCTGGAAGGGACACACAAGGATCAGCCAATCCAGCTCCTGGCCCTGCACAGACACCCCAGCAATCCCCCCCTGTCCCTCAGAGCGTTGTCCAAACCCTCCTGGAGCTCTGGCAGCCTTGGGGCTGTGCCCACTGCCCTGGGGAGCCTGGGCAGTGCCAACCACCCTCTGGGGGAAGAACCTTTTATTGCTAGATGTGATTTTTCATATGAATATTTATCTTTTTAAAGCCCATTTTAAAGGTCTGATGCTACAGAATTTTGTGCCATTTGAGTACCAGACCATCATCACAAGGAAGGTCAGAGAAGGAGATGATGGAATCTTAAAACACTGAGAGTTGCCTAAATTTTGATGTGTGTCTTGAATTAAGTGGCAGGTCCAAGGCTGTGGTTGGAGACATCCCTGAGGGAGTTCCTATTTACCTGTGGACTAATTAGAACTCTCACTGCTGATGAGAACGTACAGCTGGGTGGAAATGGGATCCTTTACACGACAAAAACTCCCTCGGGAATTATGCTAAGTATAAAAATCAGAGGTCTTTGATAAATCAGCTCTTCATATCAGCTTAGAACTACACCCACCACTGAAGGAACTGCCAGAATTGTCCTCTAAGACAGTTGTGTTGCTGACCACAGATGTTGAGTCCAACCCCTGGCTTGCAATATGTGAAAAACCCTCAATCACACATTCCCTTGGGGGTATTAAGCTCAGAAGTCAAACCCATGAGATTTATTTGTATTTGGTTTTATTATTTTATATTTTCTTTTCTGACAGAAGTAAAATTATGCTGGAGATGAAGCTTGTCTTGTGGGCATTGCACTTCAAAAAATCTTCAAAGCATCTGAAACAAAGATGAAAACATTAACATGAAAAACATCCAAACAACAATAACGCAACATGTGATATTTAAAAAGCCAAATCAAATGCCAGCTGCATCATTCCAGGCTCCTGAAGAACACCTGCAGCAGGGAAAGAAGCTGGACAGGAAGAGTTTGGAAGGCATTTTGGTTCTGTTAATTAACTCATCAGTTAAGAACCCTGAGGAGGGGTGTGGGTTGTTGAAGCCCTCGGGGAGTGGCAGAGTTTGCTGTCCCCTTGTCATTTCTGGGCTGGTCTCATTTGTGCTCAGCCTTTATCAGCAGGGCAGATGGAAATCAGAGCTTGCAGGAGCTGTATTATTATTATTGTTTTGTTTTCCAGCAGACATAAAACCTGACAGTTCCCTGACATTCCTGGCAATTGAGGGCACAGACATTTCGGGTTGCAACGTTTCTCTGCACAAAAAGCTTAATAGACTTGACGTGATTTTCCATCTCTCCTTGTTTGAGAGGTGCAGGGGAGCCAGAGTGAGATGTTAACTTCCACCAAGAAAATCAGAATCTGCCACTTGCTTTTTGATCTGCTGCATCACATCCTCAATTTCTATCAACTGTCTTCGGTTGTGCTGAAATATGATTGAACATTCATCTTGTTCCGTGGCTCTGGTGTGCATATAGCACAAGTGACTACAAATTGAGAGCTTAATACCACCTGTTACTTTTATTTGCTAAAAAGGTACCAGTTTATGCTGGTTTTCTTCATAGGAGAATAAAACTGGAGTTAAGCATTGCTTTGGCTGAACAAAATTCAATATATTCAGGCTTTGAATAGCCTATTTTTTCTCTTTTTCTGTCCTTAGTTTTGTTTTTGTTTCATTCTCAGCCTGCAGTAAAGTAGCATCTTCAGCTCATCGTGGGTAAAAGGTGATCCAGGTGTTTGGGGTGTGGTAATTCCACTGCTAATCCCAGCAAAGGCTTGGAAAAGGGGAGGGAGCAGTGAGTCACTGACCCCTCAGCATTCCCCAGTTTTCCCTTTTCCTCCTTGTGGTGCCTGGGTGAATTTTTTACTGGTTTTAGTGCAAAAATTCCCAGTGAGGTGAGTGTCACTTGTTAAAAGGATTCACTGTCATGAGCATCCTTGCAGCTTCTCTTATTTTGGCAGTTTTTAAAATGGACTTTTTTTAAAAGCACAGTGGTTTCCCAGTGACAGGTTTAATCACATAGGGCTTTTTTTTTTTTTTTTTTTTTTTTTTTTTATTGTGGGTAAATATATCTCTTGTGAACAAGCACTGCAAAGCTGTGTGGATACAATTAGGGGGCAGGGTTTGGGCTTTAGGAGCCTTCCAGCCAGCATTTAGTGAGCTGCACAAAGGGGTTTCAAAAGGAACTTGATTTTTGTGGATCAGCTTGTCCTGGCGAACCTCAGAGAAACACTCAGTGCACAGACAAAATTCAGCTTTGCTGGAGCAAGGAAAAAAGCCCTTGGAGGGGGATGAGGGAGCTGGAAATGGGAGCTGGAAATAGAATTCAGTGAGGATTCAGGTGGAGGAAAAAAGGGTTGCTGAGACTGGGAGGTGGAAGGAAGGATTTGACATCCCTGCTTTCTTCCCAGGCAACCTTTCAGTTCAACATCTACTTGACCCTCAGGGCTCACAGCTTTGTGCCCTCCAGCCCAGGAAGGACCCAGAAAAAAATGTTAAAGAAAAAATAGGGGAAGAATCTGTGGAGGGAGAGTGAGAAAAAACAGGGAAGTTTGGTGGGAAAGTCTGGAGTTTTCCATTCTGGCAGCTGGAAGGTTCCTGGGGAGCTCATCCTGTCATAGATTTACTTAAACATCCTCTTCTTTTCCCAGCAGGAACTGGGAGGGATGGATGGACGGATGGATGGATGGATGGATGGATGGACAGCTCCAAGACAGAAGGGCTGGGGCTGCCAATCCACATTTCATCACCGAAAGGAGCTGAACTTGTGAGTTCCAAGCTGTGCACTCAAAATAAGGTGGTTGGTACAACCCCCAAATTCCTGGTGGGCAGTAATTTTCCTGACATCCCCAAGAATGAGTTTAAACAGGTGGGGTTTAGCACATAAAACATCTGCGACCTCTGTGTTTCTTTTGTTGGTTTTTTTTTATTGCATTTACGTGTTCTTTTAGTAGTTTGAAAACTTTTCCTTTTGAAATGCAGCAGAACTGCATCAAACCCCCTCAATCTAAGCCTGGGAGATACTTTGCCTACGTGCTGGTTGCTCCTCATACAAACCTAAGAAATAGCACTTTTTGGAAATTCCAAACATGTACAAATCATCATTCCACTCATCACTTTTATTTTGTTACTGAATTATGAATCCAGGGGAAAAGTTCTTGTAGTCAGTATCCTGAAAACTCCCATAATGAACTCCCCTGATACAGCAAAGATTGTTGCCAATAACATAAATAAATGTTGTACCAGCCTGTGAACATGAAATGGAATGCAAAATACAACAACTGAAAGGTGGGGGAAGCTTGTTTTTTTGTAGTTGGTTTATATTTTATAACTATGGGAGCTAAATCAATACCACAATTCTTTATGCAGGAACATTTTCAATCTTGTTATGGGATCCTTATAAAATATTCAGCAAACCAGAGGAGAGACAGTAACTTGAAGGGTTCAGGTGATTTTCTTTGCTGGAGGTGGAACATCACTTTAGAGGATTGAAAACCATCCCCCAGCATTTTCCCCTGGATGGTGTTTCCTGCAGCTGTGCAGCTCAGGAATGGCTCTAAAATCCAAGGGCTTTGTGGGAGCGTGTTAGTCATGCTGGGGAACAAAGGTTGGGAAACGGGGGGACCTTTGGTTAAACGAGGTGATGGGGCTGGGGGAGCTACAAGGGGTTGTAAGCTCGGTGTAGCAAACCTCGTTGGAGCAGTGCCTTGTCTTCTTGGAGCTCCTCAGGGTTTGGGGTTGGGATGATGATGGAGCTTCAGGGCTCCCAAGGCATCCCCCAGCTGTGTTCCAGCGCCTCAGAGCTGCCAAAAGGCTTCCATGACACGCCCTGGTCTTGCACCTTGTGCCCTCCCATCTTAGACCTTTGAAAAAAAAAAAACCCAAAATTTGTCTTCAGGTACAGAATCTCAGAATCATTGAGGCTGGAAAAGCCCTCCAGGATCACCCAGTCCCCCCTGTGCCCAGTGCCCACCCTGTCCCCCAGCCCAGAGCACTGAGTACCAAAAAACCCAAAGCAAAAAAACCCAACCAACAAACAAAAGCCCAAAAAACCCCACCCAAAACATAACATAAAATAAAATAAAAATTAACATTAATAATAATAATAATAATAACAATAATAATAATAATAAAATAAGCCCTAAACAGAAAACAAGGGGAAAACAATAAACATGTAGATGGATATGTACCAAAATATCTTAGGAAAGCTCAGAACTTCTGTAGCTTTTGAGCATTTATTTCTTAAAATTAAGGTAAAAACTCAGGGGCTTTAGCAATGCCTTGGTATTCCTGTCAGAGCACACCTTCATCCTCACCCTTCTCTTTTAAATTTGTGATGCTGACCTCAACTCCTCTTCTAAAATGCACACATGTGGCTTCTGGAGTGCTGGAAGCCAGGCTGCTCATGGAATCAGTGAATCCTGGGATCCCTGAGGCTGGAAAAGCCCTCCCAGCCCATGGATCCCCCCTGTGCCCGATGCCCACCTTGTCCCCCAGCCCAGAGCACTGAGTGCCACGGCCAGGCCTTCCTGGGACACCTCCAGGGCTGGGCACTCCAAACCTCCCTGGGCAGCCCGTTCTTTTCCAACTTCCCTTTCAAACTTAGATATTCTTTTCCAGCTTTAAATCTGTGCTTAAAATAAAGTGTTCTAAAATGGTTGTCTGTTGCTGTAGGAAGGAAGGGAAAGCAAGTTTTTCTGTGAGTGGGAATCTCATTTGTTATCACCTCTCTTAGGTACTTAAGAATATGATTTGTGGCCTACATGAAAAATGGAGTTGTTTCATGTAGCAAAGCTCAATTTTGTACTTCAGAGAGCATGTAATTTTGTAGCTGCTTTTCTGAATAATAGAATTTCACTTGACTCAATTATTTATTGGAAGTTTTACATTCGAGCTTACTCTTTAGTTAGTAAATTAAGTTATTTTATTTATTACTCTGTTAAACAGAATAATTTTATTATTTCTATTTCCATGCTATTAATTCCAACTCTTTATATCAGAAGGGATTGCTGGGGTCATCTTCTCCTTCCCTCACTCAAAGCACAGCTAATTTTGAAGTTCCTTTGGCTTACTCAGAGCCTGCTCCTTTCACCTTCCCGATATTTCCAAGGATGGAGATTCCACAACCTGTCTATAAAAGCAGGAAACACCTGCCCATGTCCTCCATTTGGAACTCTTGGGCCAATTCTTCTCCTGGAGAACTCAGTGCAGCACTAAGGAGGTCACAGGAACACCTGCCTTATCCCAAGGAGGATTTACTTTTGATGGATAATCCGGCACAGGGAAGGGAAGGCAGCTAAATACAAATTGTATGGCAAAATTAATCCCTGGCACCTGGAAACCTCCTGGTTTTTGGAAGAGTCCAGAAAGGACTTTATGGAGGAGTTTATTAAATCCTGCATTCATTAAGACCAGCAGAATATTCTGAACCTTTCTCTGCTTTTTTTCCAAGCAGAAATACTTCCTTTGGAAATGATTCATTGTTCTTTAATGCTTTCTAAAAAACCCATTGACTTTTTCATCCAGAGGGAGATTCTTATTTCATCTTTTGGATGAAAGCACTTAGCCCTGTGCACATGAAGCATTAAAAAACGATGAGCCAGGCCTGCCCCACATGTCTTAAACAGCTGTGATTTTAATTCTTTAATTTTTTTTTTTAAGGCTCTTCTTCTCCTTCATCTTCTCCTTTATTGCAGCCTGATCATTGTTTTCATATCTTTCATATTGGGTTGATGTTATAAATTCAGCTGCTACTGCTGGAACCATTTCTCTGTAAGGGAAGTAGAGAGATAATGATGAGCTCCAAGAATGGAGGAATTATGAAATCTGTATCCATGCAAAAAGTTAGCAACAACAAAAATTAGCAACAACAGAATTATAGTAACAAAATTTAAAACCCATGACTCTATCTCTGTGTTTATCATTAGGACAGATTCCAGTACAAGGAAAAATTCTGGATTTTAAAACAGGACAATTTTTCTTTAATATTTGAATAACTATTATTTTCACTTTTATTTCCTTGCCTTTGCAGTTCCAGGAAAATAAAGTAGAAAGGTAAAGATGCACCAAAGGATGGTTGTGGTGTTTTCAGCTAAAGACTCCTGTCCACAAAGGAGTTTTCAGATCTGGTTTTGTGAATAAAATTCACAGAAGGTGTTTAGGCTTGATCTAATGGAGCTGTTGGGTGTTCAGGTGAACTGTGACTTCTCTGATCTCCATCCAACCCCTCCTGTCTTTGGCACATTTCATCCAGAAGACCTTCTGCTTTATAAAACCCCTGGATTTTGATTAATGTCAGAAATAAAGCCCTACAATATCTGCTGCAACAAAATGCATGGAAAGTAGTGGCCAGTTCTGCTCCCTGCACTGGCTTTCTCCTCATCTGAAGGGCTGCTATTTTTATATTCCCTGGTTTTTACAGGATCAGCTCTGGTTGCTGGAATGATTTCAGCTCGCTGCAGCTACGGTAATGGCATTCTTTGGAATTAAATTACAGAATTTTCTGCTGTGGGAGATGCAAAGGCATTGTTTTGGAGCTAAATATAATCCTGCACTAAGAACAGGTTTGTTCCACTGCAGGCACGAAGGTTCCAGAAAAATCCAACAGCCCAAACTCCCCCATGGAGATTGCATTCTGAGACCGTTTCTTTTTGTAGCTACTCTTTTTAAATACCTGAGAAGCCCGAAAAAACAGTGCGAATTTCCCACAGTTTCCTCAGCTGTGAAAGTTTCTCAGCTCCTTTACACTCTGCTTCCCTCACAGGCTTTGCAGGAGTCACGATTTCTGAGATAAAAGAAGCCTCACCCAGTGCCTTCTTCCAAGTAATGAAACCTAATTAGGATCCCTGTTAAAATTCGGAGTTTTAGCCAGATGGCAGAAGTCTTCAGGTGCCAGTGACATTTTTTTTTTTCATTAAGAATTAATAGCATAAGTTTTTAAACAATGTTTCATTTAAACCTTGTTAGACTTCTAACAGAAATAATAAAAAACCTCCAAACAAATAATGAACACTACCTGAGGTCATTGCTAGAGCTCGGCTGCTTCTCATTCCTCTTTATTTCACAGTTGGCTCCTGCAAGGTCTTCACCCTTCAGATCCCAGGAAAGGCAGAACAAGGTTTTATAGGTACTTTATTATCTTCCCTTAAAAAAAACCAAACCCATCTCTCTCCCCCTGAAGTGATTGGAGACAGTCTGAAATCCTCTTTTGTGTGTTTTCGGGAATGAAAACGCACCTGGAAGGAATCCTTTGGTTCTCATTTCCAGGTGTTTTGCTGATATTTTATGTGTGATTCTCTCTTTTGCTGTAATCACCTCCTATTCCTTAGGGTTTTGGGGGTGTTCACCTGGAGAAAAGAAGCTCCAGGGAGAGCTGAGAGCCCCTTGCAGGGCCTAAAGGGGCTCCAGGAGAGCTGGAGAGGGACTGGGGACAAGGGATGGAGGGACAGGACACAGGGAATGGCTTCCCACTGCCAGAGGGCAGGGAGAGATGGATATTGGGAAGGAATTGTTGGCTATGAGGGTGGGGAGGCCCTGGCACAGGTTGCCCAGAGAAGCTGTGGCTGCCCCTGGATCCCTGGAAGTGTCCAAGGCCAGGTTGGACGGGGCTTGGAGCAACCTGGGCTAGTGGAAGGTGTCCCTGCCCATGGCAGGGGTGGAACTGGATGGGCTTTAAGGTCCTTTCAACCCAAACCATCCTGGGATTCCATAATCTGCCAAAAGCCATGTCTGGAAGCAGCCAGGACAGCAGTTCATTAGTGCACACTGAGCTCATCACTATTAGATTTTCTCCCTCTCTTTAAATCATGCTTTGCCTTGTAAGCTTTTATTGTGTAATATTTTTTATTTAAAACCAGTCTGAGTCCCTTA